CGACTTTGCAATATCGATTACAAAAATTCGATGCAAGTAAAATCGAACTACTCTCGTAGTGTAGACAAGGCCAGAACAAAATAAGTCACCAAGCAAAATAAAATAAAATGCGCAAATCTATGTCTAATCAAACTGAATACAGATAATCTCACCCTCAGAAATGCTTCAGTAAGTTTTTTTCTCAGACTTGCATCTGAAGAAGTGAGGTTCTTACCCACGAAAGCTTATGCTCCCAGTACACCTTCCAGGCCTGGGCACAATTCTTTCCCCTGGTACAGCTCTTGTTCCAGCTCAGGTGGTAGCTAGGGGATTCTTCATGATGGCTCCTCTCTTTAGCCAGCTGAAGACAAAATGGAGGGGTCTCCAGAGGTTTAAATAGACTTTCTCTTGTGGGTGGAGACCCCCCTCCTCACTCCTATGCAAAGTCCAGCTTCAAGATGGAGTTTAGGAGTCACCTGGGCAAGTCACTTGTCCATGCACGACTCACAGTTTTTACAGGTAGCATCCATTGTATACATGCTACCTTGAATGTCCTCAAGTAGACTTCTTATGTGGATTGGAGCATTCCAAGATCCATTGTCCTTTAAGTGTTTCTTGATTAGGTACTTAATTTCAACATTCCTTTCTCCAGGAACTGACTAAATGCTCTACTAAGGTTATTTAGAAACCAAGCCAGTACACAGCCAACATTCATAACTTTGAATACAAAAATGATACATGCATACAAATAGGATTAATACATTCAGTAGATCACAACCTTTACGGAGATATGTTACATGGCATATGTAGCATAAAACACATTCTAAACATATTTCCATAAAGTCTTATGGAGGTACCATCACAACGTGACACTGGCATGTCGCATTCTAGTTCAGCAAAGAATGTCATGTGAGGTCTCAGATGAAACTGCTGTCACTCTGGCCCTTAATATTGTAGTGAAATATATGTACAGATACTAATTAAGGAGTTGTGTGTACATATATTTCAAATATCTTTTAAAGTCTGTGTGAAGGTATGAGCAAAGATGGAAAACAGGTTTACCTCCAGACAGGAGATAAAAAAAAGTGTCTCTCTCTGTTAGGATGTAAATTACTGTTTGCAGTGTTGTTGTCGCCATGTTGGTCCCACGATATGGAAGAGACAAGGTGGGTGAGGTAATATCACGCAACTTGTCTCTTGGGATGTAAATTTAGCATTGTAAGCTAACGCAATGGCTGTCCATCTACATACAAAGTTAACAGGAAAGGAGTCCACGGGAATAAACAAGCCATGGAAGGTTATCTTGGATGTGTGCAAAGATAATGAATGTTGTGGGTGGGGTATTGCTAGAAGGCAAGAAGACACCCCATCTTCCTACCCTACAAGGTAAATGGACAGTGCATTTACATTAATGAAAACAGGATCTCAACCAACCTTGGCTGAAAATTCTGCAGAGAACTTTTGTTGAGATAAACTTCTTTAGGAAGTAGGTTAACCTGTTAGTTAAGTTTAGTTTCTAGAAAGCATTTTTGTTTTATATGTAACCATTTGTTTCCAATGTTCTTACTCACTATTACCTGAATCTTGAATCTTTGATAATAAATTTATTCTTGTTTTCATTATAACTATATCTTTGTGCCAGGATGTTAAGAAAAGTGCTGATCCTGAGTTGAATCTTACAAGCTAGTGTGTTATGTTCCTTTAGGAATGGTGGACCTAGTAGTTCTGTGAGTAGCCAGTGTTAGGGGATGGATATCCCAGGGGAATGTTTCAAAGAGACTTGGGGACTGAGGTGTATGTATTGTTAAACTGCAAGGCAAAGTAAGGGATGACGTAGCCCAGAATAGAGTATTTGAGTGACTAACAGGCTGGTTGTTGGTGGTAGAAAGCTGACACCCAGCTAAGCACAAGCAAGTCTCCCTCATGCATGCTAGAGGAAGAGCATAAAAAGGTGACTTCACAATCCTGGGTGCTCTGGCAACCATCAGACCCAGGCCTCACCATGTAACGTATGTTGGGAGCCTAGTAAAGGGAAGGTGGCATGGCTGGAGTACTGTTGCACTCCAGAGATACACTGCTGCTGTAACAGGTCCCCTTCTGGCCTGTTGCAGCTGAATGCAAGTTAGAGTAACCCTGAGGTAGCCCAACCAGCCTTAGGATTGGATGCGGGGAGGGTGTAAAGGTGGCATCAAGTCACGTTGATCTCCCTCTCACCTCAGATCTGGTACCAAGCAGAGCTCGGCCAGACTAAGAATCTAGCCCAGAACACAGCCCATAATATTTTACAAAGAGTGTATTTGAAGGAAGTAAAGGTCCAAGGAATTAAAGCTTGTAAATCAAAGTTATGCACGTTGCATAATGCAAATTAAACAGTCTAGAACACAACACAATACAAGAAACATCTGCTAAACCAAGTAAAAATTAATGAAAAAATTAGGCAGAGAATTATGTCCAGAAGTCTCCTTGCGACATCTCATCTTCTTGAAAAGCGTTTAGTCCAACTTGATGAAGCCGATGTCCTTGGCGTACTGGCGGAAGCACTGCCGGCACATGTTCAGCCCGTACTTGCGGATCAGGCCATGGCGGTTCGAGCACACGCGGCACGAGCGGGAGCCCTGGCCGAACTTCCTGGGGTGGCTCCAGTAGAGCTGCTGGTGACCCATCCTGCCCGCTGCTCGCGCGATTCTTTTGTTGTTGATTTCTATCTATTTGTGCCCAAGTCTGAGAAGATGTAATAAGAAAGCTACCAGTTTATTGCCAATTCAAAGTGACTCTAAACAAATATTTTTTGCTTACACCTTGTTGACTTTTTCATATAATTGGTAAGTATGTGATGCATTAATCCACCAGCCACTGTTCTGACACATTTCCAAATATATCTTCACTTTGTAGTAATGCAAAGTTATGGTGCAATATAAATATTTAATGAGATAATGCATTAGCGCAAGGCTTTGGCAGTCAAGATAATCTTCTGATTCACTCATTGAGTTGTTCTGTGATATCCCAGTCATGTACCAACCCCAGGTGAATTTATATCTGGAAAATAATGATAAGAAAAATACATGCATTGAATAATTGCAACGTTAAGGGCCTAATAATGGAAACCTGTGGGAAATGAAAGGGCATTTTGCAATTAGAGGGTTTATAGGTTATGACCATGATCAGAGACTTCCAGGGTGAAATTCTGGTCCTATTGGGATCCATGACAAACCTCCTATTAATTTCAGTGGAAGCAGAATTTCATCCCTGGTTTCTAATTCCACTTCTGGCCCTGTGTAACTTTAAGCAAATTGTTTAATCTCTCTGTGTTCCAGTTTTTCTGAAAGTATCTGTTATAAATCTGGATAGTCTGGTAACTAACTACCTGTGACTACTGAGACTACAGTAACTCTTTTTGTCCTCCCATTTCTTTTCTTCCTCCCTATTTGTCTATTTCCTGTTGCATATTGTCTGTATCACAGACTGTGATCTCTCTAGGACAGGGATGATATTTGTTTTCTCTTTGTACAGTGACTAGTACAATGAGGCCCTAATTCCTCTTTGGGATCCGGCAGTGCTATCACAAAAACTAACAACAAATTAAAAGAACTGTTCAGACCCAATTCTGTTCCTTGGTGACTTGGATCATAGGTGCTGGAGGGTGGTGAACTTCACAAATTATGTTATAGAGATACTGGTCCAAATTGTGTCTTAAAACAAGTGCATGCATTTTTCCTTTACTTGAGTGTTTCTCAGGACAAACTTGGCCATGTGTGATGGGGTGCCCACCCCACACAGGATTGGAAGGGGTTAAGATGGCCAGGCAGGCCAATTAACTCTACAGGCGACACCTGGAGGAGGAACCAGGGAGCAGGGAACTAATTGGAAGCAGGTTGAGCTGGGCAGGAACAGGAGGTTAGGATGCTAGGGAGAAGGGACTTTGCTACCCCAAAAGGGGGAACATTGAGTGACCCACCTGGAGGGCTCAGTCATGAAGAGGATGCTGTAGTTCTTGGAGTGAGAGAGGGACTGCAGACCATAGGAAGAGACAGAGTGATGGTATGCAAACTGTGGAGGGGGGCAGGGGTCTCCCTCCACGTGTTGCTCCTGCCTGCAAGCACCACCCCCAAAGCTCCCATTGGCTGGGAATGGGGAGCTGTGGCCAGGGGGAGCTGTGGGGGCACTGCTTGCAGAGAGGGGCAGCACGTGGAGCCACGTGCCCCCCCACAGGGATCGCAGGGGCATGGTGGCCCCTTCTGGGAGCGGCATGGGGCCAGGGTAGGCAGGGAGCGTACCTTAGCCTCCCTGCACCATCGACTGGGAGCCGCCCAAGGTAAGTGCCACCTGGCGGGACGCTGCACCCCAATCCCCAGCCCTGAGCCCCCTCCCGGAGCCAGGACCCCGTACCCCCCTGCACTCCAAGCCCCTGCCCCAGCCCTGAGCCCCCTCCTGCACCCAAATTCCCTCCCAGAGCCCACACCCCCTCCTGCACCCCAACACTCTGCTCCAGCCCAGAGCCCCCTCCTGTACCCAAACTCCCTCCCAGAGCTTGCACCCCTCACCCCATCCTGCATCCCAACCCCCTGCCCCAGGCTCAGCCCAAATCCCCCTCCCACACTGCAAACCCCTTGGCCCCCGCCCAGGACCTGCACCCCCTCCTAAACCCCAACCCTCTACCTCAGCCTGGTGAAAGTGAGTGAGGGTGGGGGACAGCGAGTGATGGAGAGACTGGGGGATGGAGTGAGTGGGGCGGGGCTTTGGGGAAGGGATGGGGTCTCGGGGAAGGGTCGGGCTAGATCCTGGGTTGCCCTTAAATTTAAAAAGTGATCTTGGGCGTAAAAAGGTTGGAGACCACTGCCCTAGAGTGATGAGGAGTTCCCAGACCAGCGGTGAGTGGTGACCTAGACCTGTGACACTATGTTATTTTAAAAAAAAGACAAAAATATGGAATCTCTTTCTCTGTGACTTTTCTACCAGTGGTAGAAATATTTTTCTGTTTTTGGAACTCAATGTTTGTCTATTGAAAAAAATTGTGTAAACCTCACATCACTAATCATCTCTGTGTGTGCATTCCTGGGTTTTTTGTCCATGTACAGGGTAGTGAAAACAGTCAGCCTTCAATCTTGTGCTTCCCACCACACTCAGAACCTGCACCAGTGGCCCAAGAATATATAGCTTCTCTGTATATGCTCTGTGGTTTGGTGTATATGTATAAAGTACCCCCTGTACTATGTACCCATGTTGGTATGAACCATGCTGATAAAGCTTACTGTTTCTAATCCCAGTATAGACAGAATTTAACAATGTCATAAATTCTGTATAATCTATAGGCTAAACTATAATAGATTCAGCTGTTTGTTCCTCTGCATCTCAGAATTTGATATAACACCTTTCTAGCAAGAACAATTTCTAATTTTTTAAATCTGAAGTCTGCCTCTACAGCCAAACTAGCTGGTTCAAAATTGGTGGTCCAGCCTTTTCAATGCTGTGATTTGGATGCTAGTTTTCCACAGGCCACATACAGAAATACATGCTCAACAAAAAGGACTCCTCCATGCAACATAACCTCACATGTATGGTGGGTGCAAGCAGGGGTGAAAGTAACATTTAACACTTACCGGAAGGGGTGGGGCTGTGGGTCAGCGTGGCCCAGGCAGCTGATCTGCACTGCCCGGGGCTCCAGCAGCAATTTAAAGGGCCGGGGGCTCTGGCGGCCCGGGGTGGGGGCGGGAAAGGGACAATGACATTAAAGCACTGCCAGTACCGGTGGCCACTTTTTACTGGTACCCCGTACTGGCTTACTTTCACCCCTGGGTGCAAGGTCATGCCAGATGGAGTATGCCATTTTGTAGACCAGGTCTGATGTGGGGGTGGATGCATTCAGGGGCCAGATTGGATCCAGCCTGCAGGATGATTCTATCTGCAGATCAACATTTGGATCACTAAACAGTATCCCAACTGTATTACTACATTGGTTGACCTAAACAAGACCAAACCATGTTGCAGCTCTGGGACCAGATCCTTCGCTGATATAATGGAGCTATGCTGATTTACACCAGCTAAAGATATGGTCCTTGGTATTTAAGAGCGAAGTCAAATCCAAGATAAACCATTTTGGCCTTTTAACTTGTGTTTGGAGGTGAGAAAAAGAACTTGTTCTATGTGTAAATTCTTCCATTTCCCCATTATTTTGTCTTTACCCCTCCATCCCTTTGTTTTTATTCATCTGTATTTGTCTCACCACATATATGTAAACCCAAAAGCAGAATTTTGCCAAATGGGGATTTACGTGAAAGATGCTGTTAAAGCACCACTTTCTTGTCCCAGGAAATCAGTCAGTCAGTCATCCGTATACACTACGGGCTTGAGTCTTAAACCCCCTTACACTGCCAGAGCATGAGAATCAGAGACTATGTATTTGGGTACAAAATGTAGCCTATTATGAGGGAAGGGAACTGAGAATCACAGAGGGTAGCGTGTAGGGGGACCAGATGTCCTGATTTTATAAGCACAGTCCTGATTTTGGGGTCTTTTTCTTATATAGGCTCCTATTACCCCCTCACCTCCTGCCCCGATTTTTCACACTTGCTGTCTGGTCACCCTAACAGAGTGGCTCAAAGCAAATAGTTGGTTGAAATCTTTTTGAATTCTATAGCATTCGGCCTACCTCAATTTCAAAGTTTCATAGATTTTAAGGCCAGAAGGGACCATTATGATCTTCTAGTCTGACCTCTTGTATAACCAGTGGCAGATTAGCCACTGGGCCTACGGGCTCTGTTCAGGGGCCCTGGCCAATTGGGGAGGGTCCGGAAAAATGGGCACTATGTGCCCCAACCCTAGCTCTATTTGCCCTGGGGGGAAGGGGCTTTGTCATTCCCATGCTGCATCCCCCACCCCCTGTTTTTGCTTGTGGGGACCGGACAGAGCAAGACGGAGCAGCTTTTCGCCTATGCTCAGGGTCCTGCCTCAGCAGCTGGATGGGTCCTAGTCCCTGTCTGTTTCCTCCACAAACATGAGTGCGGAGGGAGGGGCACAGAGCAAGGGAGGTGGGGTGAGGAGAAGAGAAGGGGATATGGGAATGGGTGGGGGAAGCAGGAGCCCAGGATGTAGCATTCCCCGGGCAGCAGCCCCAGCAGGGAAGCAACTGCAATAGCACCAAAGCAGTGACATCACTGCAGCAGCCGGTGCTGGAGGGGTTGCCAGTAGCAGCTGGGGCTCCCCCATTACGCCGTTCCATCCCCCACAGCCCAGGTACCATTGTAGGTGTGGTGAGAGAGCCAGTGAACCAAGGGGACTGGCTTCAGTGTGCATGTGCATGCTTTGCCTCCCCAAATTTAGCAGTCAAACTACGCCTATGGCCCTGGGACTGGAGGAGCTCTAGCTCCCTGCTGCGGCCTCAGGGCTGGGGGAGCTCTCCCCACTGTGGTCCAGGGCCATGGGGGGGAAGGGGACAGAGCTTCTCCAGTCTTGGGGCCGCAATGCGGGGGGGAGGGGAGAAAGGAGCAAGGTTGTGGGGCTGCAGTGGGGGGGCAGAATGGGGCTGACTGTGTGTGTGGAACGGGTCAGGGAGAAGGGGCAGAACTGGAACAGGACTGCAGGCAGAAGGGGTGGTGAGGGGTCCCCCATTTGCTCTGGCCCAGTGCCCCACGAAATCTTAATCTGACTGCATATAACACAGGCCATAGAACATTCCCAAAATAAATCCTAGAGCATATTTTTTGAAAAAC